TTTTGGTATCTTTTTAAAATAAAATATTTTTTTATAATATTGAATTATATTATATATATTTTAATTGTAATCATTTTAGTTTTAAAAACAAATAAAAGTCAAATTAATTATAAAATGTATTAATTGTTAGTGATATTTAACTTTTATAGTATGAGATGTCAAAAATATTAAATTTATTTTGTATAATATTATTTAGGTATAATTTAGGTAAATGTATAATTTACTAATCACAAAATATCTTAAGGAACCGTTTTCCTATAACTGGCGTCCGTGTAATGGACGAGTAACTGCAGCCAGTGTGTCTTATTATCCACTGCATCTAGATGTTGCTGGGAAACTGTACCTTTAGATTCTAGATACTGAGTGTACCTTATAATACCTTGGTTTCACTGTGACTGTACTGTATGTATATTTATTATTTTTGTTTTCTAAGCTAAGTGATAATTTTTTTAGTTAGAGAGAATGCTTTAAAAGTTTCATTGATCAAGTATCCACATCGAAGATAGGAAATTTCATTATTTTTAAATTGTTGTTATCTTATTTTAGTTAAGTAACTTTTTTTGTTTTTATTCAATAGTTAGAATTGTTAAGAAAAATCAATTAACTACAGAACATTTTCTAAACATTACATTTATTTTAAAGATCACTTAAATAAATCAAGCTCTTTATCTAGTTTGATGTTTTATMATTTTTTTCAAATGTAAAGATTTATGAGAATATCAAGTACCTATCCTTAGCTATTCCCGGAGTACCAGAATACATTATATTGTRTTTAAATACCTATTCTATATGGAATTATCTACCTACTTTTATAATTTGTGAGATAGCAATAAACACTTGAATAGTCAAATATGTTATATTATTCAAGATTATATAATGAGTGTGAATGATGCAAAATTTATTTAATATGATATGAAGATGGATTGATTTAACAATGCAGTTGAAAATTGGTTTTAATGGATCATAGGAGGTCCTAAAAAACATATTTCATGTCATGATAAATTTTAAAAGTAGGTACCTAATAATTACTTATGAAATGTTAAAATATATTTATTTTCACAATTCTGCAGAAAAAAAGAAGCATCATTAGTGTTGATAACATTATAATTAAATTGAATTTATAATTTATAACTGTATTACAACATGTTGACATGTATATCATTCATTTAAATTAACTATGTAATACATGATGATAATATATGATATATCGATTAATACAACTTTATGGCTATGACATAATGACTTACGAGTGCACTATTGTCTACAGCGAAAGAAAATTGTCTGATACAAAGAACAAGTTAATGTTACTATTATAATGCTTATATACCTAGTTGTATAAGTTAATGAATAAACTTCATAGTTCATAATAGTGACGTCCTAAACTCCTAAGTATCGTCAGAAGGAGGCAATTGAACAACACCCTCCTCAAATATAAATTATTATCTAATCACTGTGTGTTGACGGATAAGTCAAAATAAGACGCAAAGCGTACTTATATCGAATGATAATATTTTTAAATAAAATAAAAGTAATAACAAAGAATACAGATAGACAATTCCAAAACAGAGAAAAAATATTTGAAAAATGGGAAAATTCAAAATATGAAATATTTTAATAGTGTGTCACCATATTACAAAGGTAGAGAAATTGGTCTAGTAAATAAATGTTGATAAAATTATTGAAAAGCTCTTCCCAAAAAAATACTTCGAGGCATGCCCTTGAGTATTATACAGTTTCCCTAAATCATTCAACTTGGAATTTGAAAGTGTTTGAAGACCTACAGGTATTCGGGAATTGCCTTAAATTACTTTAAAACTATTGATTGTTATTGACTTATATTGTCTATTGAAGTTAGTAAATAGCTGTGAAATTGTTGTATCACATAAGTACGAAATATTTCTATTTCAATAAGAACAAAAATAGTCTTGACCTAGATCCAATTTGAAATGGTTTGATCTAAATATTTTATAGTAAAAAAAATAATGTTCAAGGACATGAGGAGAAGAAGCARTTAAGTTCGCATTAAAATTTTGTTAGGATGTGGAGGGAGTGGWTATTATTCTGTGTGTGTACTATAAACAATGTGAAAAGTGACTACTGATAACAAATGATTCTATTTGTGATGAAAATAATGAATATCATAAATAATTGCAATGAAATTACTTATTAGACTAAAAACTCAATATTTAACAAAAACAATTAGTTAATAATTAATGATAAATATTTTTGTATTTCTTATTTCACTGTAATACTACTATTGACTGTGGCGCGTTGACTCAGTATTCGGTTGCAGTCAGCATTATGTTTTTTTTTTCCCCATTGATGTCCATTGTCTATTGTGTTTTGTGCGTTGTATAATAATACAATATAATATTCTGTTTTATCATGTCATTGTGCTCTCCCGTTTTAAAATATTATTACAACCAATGCTAGCTAGTAGCTAGCCAAAACTCGGATTGCTATTAATGTATACGTTCATTGATTTTATTGCATTAGGCACCTATTTTTTTTATAGTGGACAGTAGTGGCCATCACTGGCTAGTTTTTTATTGACAATTCAACCACAGAACCATTAGACGTTGTTAGGAAATCACGACTGTGTCGACGATTGTTGATTCCTGTACAACTGCCCGTCTGATTGGTGCCATTACAGTACAATCGTGATTGCTTTTTGGCCAACTCGACGATGAATAAAACTCGAACAATATTCATTTTGGACGCCGGGGCATTGTTTATCCTACAGATATTGCAATTCTTCAGTCTGGACTATTACATCATGATTGTGTTCCAGCACACGTGGTACTCCAGATATCCAAACATACTGTTCCTGGTGCTCAACATAGTGTTGACATTGCTGTTCTACCATACTTTCCTCAACTGTTACAGAGAATACAAATATGAACGCAGTAAGAAGACAGGAGATCTAGTTGAATGCAAAGCCAAGTATCCTGTATACCTAAACTGCATCACCTGGGCAATGTATGTGACCGTGTTGTTCAGCAAGATCATGATGATTTTCTCTAACAACGTCAACTCGTTGGTTTCCAACGATGATTTCATGGGACCGCAAATGCTCAAGGTAAAGTACCCGATTTATGCCATTATAATATATTATACRTGTTGATATGTCTTTATAACATTTTTACATTAATTGTTTTTTGTTTTAGTTGCTCATTGGTGTTTCTGGCATTGTATTTTATTTGCTGATAAGCGCTGAATGTTTTGGACGGCAAGTAGATCGCGATAAATGGCCAACAAATGCATGTATCATTGAGATTTTCGATTCTGTTGAAATATTATCGATAGTCATAGCATCGGACGCTAAAATTGGGTACATAGAGTATTTGATCTACATTACAGCCTTTTTAAATTTTATGTTACCATTGTGGGTACTGTATAATGTATCTCAACCCGAYGTTGATTCCAAGCCAATGGGACTTCCTCAACCTGTATGTTATAATGTTATGCATCTAATGTTAGTTCAAATGCCTTTTTTGGGCATACGAATGTATATGTGGATTGTGTTCAATCAAAATGCSTCAGTGTTCATTATGAAAAATGTATTACACTTATTATTCTTTTTGCATTCCCTATACCCATACATTAAAGACATTTCTAAGAAAAACCAATATAGCCCAGAAACTTGCCGTGATGATGGTGTGCCAGAAATTCTTTTAACTAATCGTAAGCATGATGAACCCATTGAGTTACTTTAAATGATTATGCATTCAACATATTAATATAATAATATGACTAACTATGAAACACAAGAGATTTATTTTTAACTTATAGATGATACTAAGTATATTTTAAAATTAATTTTATTTCAAATGAATATAAATAGTCCAAGTATAAGTGTTAAAACCTTTTTAGTAACATGATTACTTTTTATGTAATGTTAATTTAACTTTTGGTCAAAAACAGAAAATGAATCATTCTAGTCTACACTATATCTCATTGGCTTAAGTTTATATTTTATAAATTTGAAGACTAAATTTCTTTAAATTTGAGTTTGGTTTTATAATACTGATTAGTGATTATATTCGACATAATGTACACTAACCACAGAATAATAAACTTATAAAATAATATAATATGATTATACGATTTTATAATATTTAATCTACTCAAAACTAATATCTATTATCATTACAATATGAATTGTATTTTTATATCATTTATTTTTGAAGTATAACTGAGTGTTCAAAAAAAGACTAAATATTTAGTTTAAGGTAATATGTTTAAAACTGATTCTCAAACATTATGATAAATATAATTAAGACTGATATAAAGTTTATAAATTTTTATTTAATACTTTCCAACACATAATTTAATTCTTATTTGGATTATTATAAATAATATTAAATATAGAATATTATAAGTTCAATTTTAAGTTAATAACATATTTCTTAAGTTTTTAATGAAATTGTATGGATACTTTTTTACATAATATATTTTATTAAGATTGTTATTCATTAACTTTAAGAGAATTTTGTACTAATATTATAATATATTTTAATTATATAATAAAATGTAATTTATATAATAATTTATTATGTGTGCAATGTTTATGAGATTAAACTTATACATCATACTTAACTATGTATCATGGATTTTTTTAGAAGATTATTTTCTCAAGATCACATCTTCAATCGCTTAATTATAATCACTGTATATCACTTTCAGTTTARAGGATTTTCCTAGATTATTATGACATAAATTAAATAATGGTAAATTACTGTCATAATTTACTTATAATGTAATCATTGTATTGAATAACTATTTTTTGATATAAACGAAAGCTAAGGGTCAACATGTCGAATTATTGAGTTAAATAATATATTATTTACGTATGGTATCATCAGTTATGCATAAATCATTTGCATAAATCTTTTAAATTTATTGATGTATCTTAAACTTGAGTTTTATTTTAAGTACAATTATTATGATTTTTTCCAAAGTAGTTGAATACTCAGCAGCTGTGGCCATTATTAAATAGACATGAAGATAGAAAGTTTACATAAATGAT